AGGGCCAAATTCCATGCTGGTTTTCCTGAGAAGGCTATCTGCTGGCACAGGCTCTCTGGTGGCCAGGCCTCACAGTGTTGATGGCACTCACTAGGTTCTGGACTCAGTGTACCAGGCAGCACAAGAGCCAGGGCTCACACCGTGGGAAAGAAGGGACCTGTGGGATGATTGAAGAAGGCCAAGGTGGGAAATGGGTAGTGAGCAACCTTTTAGCCTCAAGCTACGGAGAGGTGGGATAGGAATCCTCAGGCCATGGCTGAAGGAGGGTGGGTCAGTAGGTTGTCCACCCTGGGAACCATGCAGGCTACTGGGTATGTGCTCTGCCATTTGTTTCTGTTATGCTGTGCTGCCCTCATCAGAGGCCCAGAACAATGTGCCAAAATAGTATCTTTACTTCATAAATAACCCGTGTCAGGTATTTGGTTGTAGTAACGCAAAGCTGACTCAGTGACAACAAAATTAAATAATGCATGTTTGGTTCTTAGGAGTAAGGTAACCTTCAATAAATTACGAATTATTACTGAAGAAAACCCACATATATAATTTGCTATTACAGTATGGCATACTTGTTGCCAAATTAATTAAATTAAGTGCCATGAACTACCTCAAATAACTGCTGCACAAAGTCTTTGTAGGACCAGGAGGCCCCCTTGCATCTCCCTGGGGCTGAAAGCTAGCAAACAAAGGTCAGGGTGCTCACGAAAGAAAGATAGGAATGGCCCATGTGTGCTCAGACTGAAGGTAAAGGGATTTGTAATGCAGACTAAAGCTGGAGCTTTTGGGGAAAGGTTCAGCCCACACAGGGTCTCTTGATCCTCAGTCAAATCCACTCTCCCAGCTAGGCCAGCAGGGACAGCCTGAGGAGAGGAAGTCTTTGGAACAGGATGGGATGGCCTGAATGTGCAGCTCCAGCTTGCAATGGGATGTGGCTTCTCAAGGTCTTTACAGAAGAAACAAATATTCAGTAGGCATTTCCCATGGGTGGGGAACCAGGTTTGTGCACGGGTCACAAGAAACACATGACAGTTTAACCTCGCAGGTGGGATGATCAGGAGACAAGAGTCCCACTCCTCCCATGTAAAGCCAGGGTCTGCTGGGCATCCCCATCTGATTAGCTGCCACTCCCTCACCTGTCCTCTCCTCCACTGCACCATTCAGGGACTGCCCACAAGGCATCACAGGCCTCACCATGGGGGATGGGCGAAGTGGGGACAATGAGTGATGGATGGGAGATGGAGGATCTAGAACCCCACACATTCAACTCTACAATCACTAGATCTTTTATTTGAATTTATTTTCCTAGCATTTTGGCAGTGGGTATCTGAATAGCAAATAGCTCAATAGACAGCAGAGCAGGCAGAAGGGCCTGCAAACCTCAAACTCCAAGTGAGCCCTCTACATGCACAGGAATGAACTGGGAGCTGTGAATCCACTCCTGGGGAGTCAATCATCAGCCACAGTGGCCAAGGGCCAGCAGTTGTATTTCCCCCTCAATGCACCAATTGTCAACTCCTTTAACCAGCACTTATGTGCATATTCTTTCCAGCTCTGGGTACCAATGGGGAAAGTGACAGTCTTGACCTCAAGAAATCCACAGACCAGTGGGCTGAAAGTAGAGCTTATACACCACCTGTTAAAATGCTCAGTAAGCACACTGTTAGGGAGGGTGTGTGTACAGGAAGTGGCCTGGTTCCAGGAGATGGGAGGAGAAAGTGAGACAGCCTCCATGGAAGGCAAATGAATGGTATCAGATACAAAAAATGAAGAGACTTTCCAAGCCAGAGATTCCAGTCCTAGATGTTGATCTTACAGTGAGTGCACCTTTCTGCTAATACTACAAATCACCCTTTTTTGGTGGGAGTGGAATTTGAACTCATGGCTTCGCACTTGCAAAGCAGGTGTTTTAACGCTTGAGCCCTATCTCCAGTCAGTCCATTTTGCTCTGGTTATTTTGAAGATGGGGCCTCATGAACTATTTGCCTGTGGCTGGCCTCGAATCTCAATCCTCCCCATCTCAGCCTCAGGATTTCAGGTGTGAGCCACCAGCACCTGGCTAAAACACCACTTCTTTATAGATAGCAGAACGAGGTTATGAGCAGTGTGAGGTCAAGTGGCAGGAGGAGGGAAGAGGGGGAAGGCATTTTCAGAAAAGGATGTGAAAATGGTTCTGGGGCAGGAATGCCGTATGGTTTAAGGTCCCCAATTATGGTGGGGGTTGGAAGGAGAGGAAAGGAAAGAGCAATGTTGGGGATTAGAGGAACATGAGTTAGGAGGCTAAGGTACCAGCTCAGGCAAGAGGGAGGCCCAGACTGACACTGGCTTCCAGATGTGAGTGATGTCAGGGTTTCTAGGTTGGTGACCAGACACACAGCAGTGCCACCCACTGAGAGAGCTAAGAAAGAGGGGAATGGAAGGAACCTTAGTATCATGTCACTTTGTGGACATAGAGGCAAGGTTGTACCACAGCAGCTGAGCTGCAGGAGATGGACAGGGGCTTTTGGTGAGTGCTTGGTTCACAGGTGCTAATACACACCCAGGTAGGTGATAAACTAGACCAAGGTGGGACAGAACTAAGAGAGGCAGGCCAGAGGTTGTTCAGGGCATACAGCTGTGTCCATGCTTCTGGGACAAGGGGAAAGTACCTCTGGGGGACTGCTCTGTTGACCAGTCCCATCCAACTCAGGACCAGAGTAAATTGGGACCATCCATGAGCTAGCTAGTCTTGGCCCAAATGATGTTGCAAGCATGAAGTAGATGCAGAGAATGACACTGTAGTCTTAAACCTGAAAGTTGACCATACGGAATGGCCCACACAGCCCTCTCTTCAAAGTAAGTGTCTTGCAAGGTGCTGGGCACCAGGGAAACACAGTGTGTGGAGACTATGGTGCTTGGAAACTGTTGAGACAGACAGCCCTGCCCTTTCTTCACAGGTGCGTTCACTAGACATAGTAAAGATAGGGGAAGTGACAAAAATGAGTTTTGTGTGTGTGCCTTTCCTGCAATATTGGTGGGTGAGTGCTCTCAAAATAACTATCCTCAACTGGACTTACCATGGCTCAGACAGGCCCATGTGCTGCCTTGGCCTGGATTCCTTCAGAAAAACGAGTCCAATGTGAGGGTTTGTGGGCAAATAGTTCAGTTTTGAAAGTGATCAGGAAATAGAAGTAGGGGACCAGGATAAGTGAGACAGAGAAGAAGATCAAAACAGGTGCATTTTTTTAGTTGGTCACCACTGTGGGCTCCTGAGCTGGAGACCATAGAACTATTTCTGCATTGGCTGTGGCACAGCAAGGAGCCCCTGGTGACCCAGAGGTTGCCCTGGGGACTGAGCTCCCTCCTCCTTCCAGGCAGCCCTGGAATTGCTGGCAAACTCCCAGCAGCCTCCCACACAGAAGAACTGCAGTCACGCCAGAGCTACAGCAAGGACAAAGACCTTGGGAGGTGAGGAACAAGAGATGACCTGGTAGACACACCTGTACACAGCTAGCTGCCTTTTGTACGTAGGCTGGAGGTAGGAGGCCAGGACCTTTGATTTTGGGACCCATGATCTATTCTCCTTTCCCTTCCCACTTTAAGGAGGTATACACATTCTAGTCTATGCCAGTCCACGGCAGATCCCTCAAACACTTCCCTAACTCCCTAAGGTTGTTCTTCTAAGTGAATAAAAGCCAAGCGCAAATGATCTCTTTCCAGTGCCTGTCCCAGCAGAGACCATGCTTGCAGCCGTCCCCCTCCATACCTCTATTTCCCCTTTTCAGGATTCCCTTGTAGCTTCCTTCTTACCTCCTGGCAGAAAGCCCAAGGTTCTGCCCTTGGCACTTGCTCCTCTTGTCCTACTCCACAGATCAGACACTGGGCTCTCAGAGTCATGGCTTCCTCTCCCAGGTGCCACACTCAGGCTCACCCAAGCATACATCGTCTCTGCAGGACTAGCTCCAAGAAAATCATTCTGTAGACATCAGACATCCGAGCCCTTCCTCCCAGACACTCCTGTAGCACTGGCTATTCCCTGTGTGCTCACTGGTATTGCTGGATAATAGGACTGAATATTTTTCCTACTAGATCGTCAATTGAGAAGGCTGGACCCTGCCATGCTTCCTCAATGTATGACATGAGGTAGAGTCCCACACAGGGACCTCATCCACTGCTGCAAATTTTGTTTGAGGCAAAGCTAGACTTGGAAGCAGACTTTGTAGCCATTATCTGCTGTGGTTTAGGTCTTCAGTGTCCCTGAGAGGCCCATTTGCTAAAGGCTTAGTTCCCAGTTTGCCTGTACTGGGGTGTGGAGTCTCGGGGGAGGTGCTGAAGTCACTAAGGATCTGTGCTTCCAGGGGATTGTAGGACCTCAGCCTCTTGTTTTCCTTTTTCTTTTTCCCATCCTGGTCAAGAAGTGAACAGCTTTGCTCTGCCAAATGCTCCCGCCAACGATGTGCTGCCACAAGCCCAAAGCAAGACCCTGCCACAAAACCCTGATGAAGGCCAATGTTATGGGCTGAGACCTCCAAAAATGTGAGCCAAAATAAACCTCCTCCCTCTGTAAATTTATTTATTTACTATAAGTCTATTTATTTCAAGTATTTGTTACTCTAATAGAAAGCTGACCAACACATTATCTAACTCAATTCTTCTGATTCCAGCCAGAAAAGGGAAGACCTCAGAGACTGGAAGTGTTCTTCATGCTATTCAAAAAGGTGTTGAGCCTACTGTGGGTTCATTCTTGGCTGACCAGAAGCAACAAAGTCAGCAGGTCTGGCCTCTTCATTGCTACAATCTGGAGACTGCAGAGCCAAGCCTCCAGGGTCAGATCAAAGCCTTGATCAAGCTGAAAAAAAGCAAAACTGCTAATGAGAAAATTTTTCTCTTACCTACCCTTTGTGTTTAAGCCATCAGCTACTACAAAATTTATGAACTTATGCACCCTGATCTGATGCCAGCTATAAAGTTATCAGACATGTGGTTCAGGAAGAGCTAAAAGGTAACAGCAAAAGTTGCCCCTGGCTATGTGTGCCCGAAGGGTCTAATTCTGGGGAAGTCACACATTCAGAAGCCCCAAGTCCGCTTGGAAGGGAAGGAAGACACCCAACCTCTGACGGTGAAAGTGGGGGTGCAGAAAACTGTTTCGTATCTTTTTACATCAATGGCTTGAAAACTTTTATTTAACTTCAGCAAATATTGGAAATAGAAAAATGAATTCTGCAGAATTTCACAAATAAATCTTCCAATTTTCACTAACAAAGGTTATCATTCAATGGTTAAGCAATTATAATGCTATGAACATTCACCACGATGAATGTGCTGAAATAGAAAACAGGCAAAGAGAGACATGAAAATATTACTTACAACAGCATTATTACAACATATTTTCTTTAAAACTCCAGCGTGGGTTTTACCACTTCAAAAGATATACAGCATTTCCATTATATTTGCACACTTAACCTTATACATCTTTTAAAATCTTGGAAAAATTTTAAGCAATCTAAAAAGCACTTAGCAAAGTTGTAAGTCTACATAATGGAATACTATCCACTCCAGTATAAACTTCCGCTTTAGGAGGAGGTGACTGTAAACACTCATTATTTTACAACATGCATAGAACTATACTGACCTTCCTTTTCTTGAACTGTAACGTTCCTGCCATTGTGCTTTATTATAGTCAGGAAAAGCTGCAGAGATCCAGGGAGTGGCGGAAAGAGCATTGCACGAGATCACTAGCTCAGGCTGATCTAACTATCTGAGTCAATCAGAGGCAGAATCTACTTGGTACTAAAAGCTTGAATCCTGGGTCACTAGTGTAGCAATAGGCTAGACAGGAGAGAAGAAGAGGCTCTTGTTGGAGTTGACTCCATCTTTCCTTTGCTCACATAAAAGCAGGGATCCAGTTAGTGTAATGCACTGCTTGGTTTATTTTTGGTGTGCAATTATACCAATAGTACATCTGATATTTAGAAAGACAAAAATAGGGTATAGTTGAAATTTAAAGTGACAATGAGCACACTTAGAGTGGTGTGTGGTACTTGAGGGAATTTTATATAAACAGAAAACAACTGCCTAATTACTCCACCACAGTAAGCATTTTTTCATTTTTGTTTTTTGATTACAGGCTTGTGACCATCAGTGGGTCTTTCAGGTTAAAAACTACCAATAACCATCTCAAGGAAGCGGTGTCATGACAAACACAGAAGACAATGCAGTAGGGGTGCTACACTAACCTTGGGCTCCTGCCAACACAGCCCCTGATTGTGTGCCCCACTAAGCTAATCAGCACAACTGAGGCAAGTTACTTCCTGGTTAAAGAGCTGTCCTACAGAACAGATCACTGCTGCTGATCAGTCAATACAATATTCAAGTAACCAGGTGTTTAAATGGTAAGTGAAAAGAATTTTTTTTTACCTAACACTTTACACATCTACATAAAATTAAATAAAACAAACTTTTAATGCATATGCAATACAATTTATATCTTTTAGGGATTTCTAAACTAAAAGTTAAACTATTATTTGTGTCCATGATACTATATTTTGCACAATAACTTATACTTAGGAGAATTTTTCCACAAAAAATATATAATTATGACATTCACATTGATAATTTTTAAGAACACAAAGCTTAAGTGACATTCCATCTAAAGCAGTTATCATGTTCCAAACCCAATCTGGTGATACACCTAATTCTTGATATGTTAAAGAGTCCTCACATAAATAAGACCAGACCACTCAGCTTTGAAAGCTAAGTGATTTCTTGCATTTACATTATTGCAAAGACAGTGTAATGAAAAAACAAGTTTAAAACACAGTGCTATCTTATACATGAGACTACAGCAACAGCAGCCAGGCAAAGACCATCTTTTTTCTCCCCCTCTGTCAAACGAAAATGACATGCCCCTTTCCCTTGGAGAAGAAGACAAAAGTCAGCTTCTGTGATCACAAGTACATCAACCTGTGACTATTCAGGGCTGGAGGCCACTCAGTGCCAGGAACCAAGTAGGGGACAGTGCAGAATACAGACTAGTGCCATGCCACCTAAGGAGCAGCATCAATTCTAGGTATTGCCAGGAGGGACCAAATCTTAAAGAAAATAGCCTGGGCATGAAGAAAGACACGGAACCACTGGCAAAGTAAGAAAGCCACTGCATAACTGCTGGTGGGAGGGAGGACTTATGAAAAGTGAGGAGGGCAGAGGCTTCTCTGAGTGCCTTTAGTGTACCCTTAATAGATGTGCAAAACCGAGGCCAATCCTGTCCCATGTTTGTCTGCCATCCTTCAATTACAGAGCAGGCTTAAGATAAAATAACAAAGAAAACCTGACTCATTACTAGTGTTACACTGCTACCAGTCTCCAGGTGGGAACAGCAGGCCATGCCCCCTGACACTGTTCTTTACAGTCTGTGACCATCAGATACCCATCAGATAGGGAAAGTCCTGCTGTATTCCCCTCTGGAATGACCTTTCTCCATACCTTAAAAAAGAATGTACAAACTCCAAAAAACCTAGGTTTCTAGCTGAACCTCTTTCTAAAGAGAAAATCAGCTGACTTAAAAAAAAAAGCAAGGTGCTTGGGGATCAAAACACATCAAAATTGAATTGCATATTTTAAATTCTTAAGAATTGTTTATGCCTTAAAGCATCTGCATTTGTTTTTTCTTTTTGGTATTGAAAGCAGAAAACTAATTTGAATGATACAAACAGCAACAAAAGCTTCTTCCACACATTTAGTGCAGCTGAACTGGCCGTGGGTTCTAGAATGCAGTCTGGTCATCTGCTCTTCACCCTTAGCAGGCCCATAGTCTGGTAAGAAAACAAGTGATTCTGGAAGTCTCAGAACATTTATTAGAAAATTTTGCTTGTTCCCAATCCAAACAAAAGGCATTACATACCACTTTGTAGACTGTTTCATCTTGGTCTTACTAAACCAATACTTTGATCAATTTTCTGTCCTGTACTCTGCTATTAAAAGAGAGGGGATACTGTTTGTGTGATCACATCAGTATACAAATGATACAAAAGGACACAGGGAGTCACACGCAACAGGCCAGGCACACCAAAAGGATGGGAACAAACCATGTAGCTTCTATAAAACCATCACCAGCTATTCTAATATCCTTTACTGAGCTAACTTTACATTTAAAATCTCCACTCTTGTCAGAATCTGCAGAAGCTCTCCCCATCTCCTATCTGACGATGTCATCTTTGGCAAGCAATAAACTTTAAATAAGACACTTGAACAGAAAAGGGATTGATAACATGGTTGCCAAAAGGAGAAGGCACCAATTCCAAATGTACAAGCACCAGGTACAGTGATATGGACCGAATCTCTCGGAGTTGGGTGGTGGTAGAGGTGGAAGTGGTGGCTGGGGGATCAGGAAAAGATGGGGTGCACCCACCCTGGGATTACAATGCTGAAGGTTGAAGGCAGAAAGCGTTGAGGTCCATGTTCCCATTAAGCTACAGTGTCCAAGGACAGTTGCTGCGAATGAGCTTTTACCACTTAGGAAGGTGAAAGGGGACATAATTCGGGGGGAGACAGAAAGGGGAGAGGAGCCACCTTACTTACAAAGCATAATTCTACCTCTGTTTAGGGAACATGAGTGGCATCAGGATGCTTGGCATGATCAAAGTTACAGTCTGCCATTGTATTGTGATTTCCAAAGAAACATGGTATTACTTAGGTGGCTGCTCCAGAAAAGAGCAAGAGAAACTTTCTTGAAGGCCAACAGGATCAGTTACTCTGAGAATCACACTATGCACAAAGTAGAAACTGCAGGCCATGCAGGAACAGAGCTGGGCCTTCCAAGACTATGTGTTCTGAAGCTGCTAATAGGGAGAGCTGCCACTGGTGGGGCTCAGGGGCTCCGAATGGGGGACAGGCTGAGTTGAGGGAGATGTGCAGGCCGTGGGTTCCCCAGCACTTAGGCAGAGTGAGATGCAATGGACTCTCTGGGAAGTGGCGCCAACATGGAGGAACGAGCAAAGAATTAAGGCAGATGTAGCACAGGACTGGAAGAGTACGCCTTTTTTGGTAATAGCTGCTTGTCCACAGAGATGTGATGCAGATGGCTAGGTGATGTCTCGTAATACCTGATATCCTGGATAACATGTAGTCCACACCAAGTGTTCAAAGCTACCAGTGGTTCTCAGGAGGCAGATGCATATCTGACATCGAGGACAGAAGCAGTCTGAAGGAGAGGAAAAGGAAAGAAAAGATCAAAGAGCAGGTAAACAACACACACTGCTAATTCTGGTGTGCTCAAAGGAGTATGTGCATCCATAAAACCTAGGCAGTAAATATCGTGTACTGCAAGCCCAGTGCTCCTCTGGCCGGGAAGTGTGTGTGACTTTGAACATGTTATAATTTCTTTCTGACCTTCAGTTTCTCCATCTGCAGAATGTGTGCAATAATGATGTCTTTGCCACAAGATTAAATAAAAATACCCAAGAGGGCACATCAACACAGTACTTGGAAAGCAAGACTGCTCAGGTGTGTTTGCAGTTATAACTACTTGCATCGAACAGAGGGAGGCTGCACCACCTGGTTCCTCAACAAACAGCCACTGGTTCTTGTTGGGGAATGGAAATCTGTTAAGACTGCAGGATCTTCTTTAAAGCTGCAAAGGCATTTCTTCATTTCCTCTCCCATTTTCCAAAACTGACTCCCAAAGGGGACATTCTGTCTTAACAGTTCTCTGCAACCACCACAGTGTCTTAACACTGAGGAAGCAACTGGGCAATGAATACAAAATCTGAGAAAACCATTCTTTCTTCACATGAAAAAACTGTTGTTGACTAAATTAGGAGATATTTCCTCACTGGCAATACATTCAATCATTGTGTAATTTTAATTCATTCCAGCATCCCTCCATGCCCTTTCTTCATTCAACTCAAAGTTGGATGTAACATTGGCAACTGTTCCACCTGCCTGCCTACCTCAAGTAACTCTGAACCTCAGAAGCTCAAATTCCTTGGGCTACTCTTGCTTCTTAGCTGGACAATCAATCAATCAATCAATAAAATCTGTAACTGACTACTATGCTACTAGAACTTATGTCAATTCTGATGCCGTCCTTTCTGTGTGTTCTACAATAAAGACAAAATCTGAGGGCAGAGGAGAGGCAGGACACCAGCACACACTGTTCTTAGCTGCTGGACCTGACAGGATAAGCAAGAAGACTGAACATAACTAGCATTCTAACAAGTCCCTGTAGGCCTTGGTGAACACAGACAAGCAGCTAGTAATTAGAGACTATTTTCCTTCTGCAAACCAACGTAAGCAGAAAATAAAACTGAGGAGGTGGCATGGGAAAGTTGGTGCTATAAGAAGTATTAAAAAAAAAAAAAAAAAAAAAGCGACTTAAGTTTTTCTTAGGATAGCCAGGTGAAAAAGACAGGCCTCTTGGTGCTTACCACAGTCTGCACTACACTGACTATATAGAAAGAGGCAAAGTAAACCTACCCCATATACACCTCAGCCCAGGCCCTGTGCCTGGTCTGCATTGTGAATGGGGAGTTATGGAGTAGGAGGGGAAAAAAAAAAAAGAAGGGGAGGGCTAGGGGTGTGGCTCAATGGCACATAACTTACCTAGCATGTACAAACCCCTGGGTTCAATCCCCAACATAGCCAGATTACATATTGATGATGTGTAACATTATCCTGGGTTTTTTGTTTGTTTGTTGATTATGTAGCCCAGGCTGCCCTAGAATTTGCTATCCTCCTACCTCAGCCTCCAAGTGCTGGCATTATATGGGGTTTTCTGTTTGCTTGTTTTTTTTTTTTTTTAAAGAGAAGGTTGAATAAACAGACCCATGGAAGATGAAACACCAAAGAGAAACTAAGATCTGCTACTTGGGGAAGGTCTAGTTATAGATGAGCCATAACCACACTGGAAAAAACATGATAGGGATATTTTGATGTTCAAACAACACAAGAAGTAGACCATTAAGGATGGCCTCCTGGACTAATAACAAATTAAAATAAAAAGCTCAGTCAGTTAGCACTTGAGCCAGGCCTAAGACAATTAAGTAAAAACACATGCAGAAGAAACCGCCACCTGTTTGAGATGACTCGGCCTTTACGTTATTCTCAGATTTCTCATGGTGGCCCTATCAACACCTGCTTTGATTCAATGCAAAGAGAAAACAGGTAAGAATATCCTATTATTTCTGCTTCTACTAGCCCTAAGGAATGAAGTTGGAAAATACATGGAAGAATGCTTTTATTCTTACAAATTCTAACATTTCATTTCCCACTGTCCACAATTTGTGTGTGGGTGTGCTGGGGACAGAACCTGGGGCCTCATGTTTGCTAGGCAATTACTCTGCCACCTGAGCATGTGAGCCACGCCCCAAGTCCTTTTGCTTTTAATTTGTTTTCCAGACATGGTTTTGAGCTAACTATACCTGGGCCGGATAATGCCCCTCCTACCTCTGCCTCTTCTTTTTCTTTTTTTTGTCCCCTGGTGGTTCTGGGGTTTGAATTTAGGGTACTGTGCTTGGTAGGCAGGCACTCTACCACTCGGGCCAGGCCACTGATCCTCAGTGCTTCTTAAATTAAATCCTGGAGTTTAGGGAAGTTCATTTGTTACTAAAGGAGCAATTAATGCTGGGACAAAAATTGGTAGTAAAAGGTAAAAACACCTTCCTTTTGCTCATATTTTATTACGTTCCAGGGCCTCGGGTTGGGTCACACATGACGACTCAGGAGTAACATTCATGGTGGCGATATTACAGATTCTGTACATACACTACAAAGGTTTTCTGTTAGAAGGCTCTCAAGAATCCAACTCTAGCAAAGATAATATGTTTCAATGCTTTTCTAATAGAGGGAAGTGCCTTGAGTGTCTATGGAATTGACACAGAGCCCCTACATGGACTAGTGATCTTACCTTCTTCACCAGGCGTGCAATCCCATGCTCTAGGAGCTAGGCCCTACAGCGAAGGTGTAGCAAAGAGACAGTGCGAGCAAGTAACTCTAAATTGTCCCTGAGTGATTTGAGGAAGATATCAAGAAAGTAACTTTCCTCAGAAGGCAAAGTAAATCCTTCAGTTAGCACACCGGTGAACAGATGACTGCAGTGACTGCCTAGGCCTTGCTCCACATGTATCCTCAGTCGAGGCAGGGGTGGAGGCAGGACTGCAGTGGGCTACAGTGGGGAAGGCCAGGTCAGGCCAGGTGGGAATCAGTAAGCAGCAACCTGGCACAGGAAGGGGGGAATGGGGCCGCAGATGCGTCTCTAGTCTGAGTTATCTTCTTCTGCAATCCTACCTGATGGGGCTGATGAAATCAGTGCCATCACTTCAGAAATTACTACAGTGCAGCCACCATCCTAGAAGTTCCAGCAACCTAGAATTGCCCTCATCAATATTTAAGCCAGTCAACCCTGGAACACAGTAGCAGGAACATACCCCACAGACCACTACTGGCTGTGCAGACTCACCCAGCAAGGTGAGCAGCCCCACAACAGAACACAGGACGCCTGACTGAACTGAATGGACATTCCTTAGGGTACTCCAAAGAGTAACTTTTATGATTTACTGCTTCATGAAGGCTTTTACTATATGCATTTAAGGAACTGCTGGCCACATGGAGCATTTTGTAGGGAGAGGGAACCAGCATGGAATTAAGCATTTGCTCAAAATTACAATGTGAGTGATATACAGTGATGAGCGGCTTGGAGTCAACACACATATGTTATGGTATTCATTGGTAAAAATTGTTGCTTTAGGAACCAACCAGAGTCTTGAGAGTGGACCTGGCAGGAAGGACACTGTGCTGTTTCACATTTACCTCATCTTCCTCCTCAGGCATCTTGATAGCACTATCCGGGGACTTGACAGGTTTCTGGTTACTGGGCCCATTGGTCTCTTCTTTACCATGTTCTGCCTCCCATTCTTGTAAAACCTCATCTATGTTGAAGCGGCGTCGATAATTTACAAAAAAGTTTTTCACCTGTACCACTGACTTGTTCCCAATCACGTCTGAGATTGCCTGAAAATCTCGGCCATATTTCCTGATGGCTAAGGATAAAAGAGAGCATTTTGTTTTTGTTTTGTTTCCCCCCTAGTATAAGGGAAAAACAATATTTAAAAACCACAATTAAGGTTTACCCCTTTATCTTGATAACAAAACATACAGGTTTCTAAGAGCAGGCACTACCTCTAATCTGTTATATCAGTGAGTAAGTCAATCCTAGGCAAAGCCTGCAGCTGATGGTACAAAAAGTTGAGTAAGATCCTGTTATCTAGAACTTGTCTTCCCATCATATATCATACAATATAACCTGTGGTTATGGACATTCTGTATTTGTCTAGGATCCTTAGGTCTGAAACACCTCTTATCTTAAAAATCTGTTTCTTACAGGGTTTTGTACTTCAGAGCTTAACAAGCAACTGCTAAAGTACAATACTGACATTCTTAGAAAACTGTGGCTTTCAGATTTTATTTTACATTTTGTAAGAAATGGGAAAGGGGGAAAAAAATCCCCAAGCCTCAAAAGCCCAGGGGAGTACCATAATGCAGCTAAAGTGCTACCTGCTAGAATAATGTGATTTTCTACTTGAGTGAAGCGCATGGAGCAGGGCGGGACACACTGTTTCCCTAAAGTCTACCTGGGCTCCCTGCCCTTTCTGAGCAGACTGCCCCGTACCTTGCACAGCAAGAAGCTGCTCTTCTGTGGTCCAGCGTGCATTACATTTCTGAATGACCTACAAGTACAGACAAGTGGTTAGCATATTACATGCAGAGATTTTTTTTTTGGATACTAGGGTTTGAACTTAGGGCCTACACCCCACCAACCCATTTTTTTTTTTCTTTTTCAAGATAGGGTCTTGCGAACTATTTTTCCAGCCTTGCTTCAAACCACTATCTTCCTGATCTCTGCCTCCCGAGTAGCTAGGATTACAGACATGAGCCACTGGCCCCAAACGATAAGTATGTTCTTATGAAAACTTAATGAACCTTTCTTTTTTTCATATCAACTAGGTTTATAAAATTATGTTTATACCTCTTCCTAAGATGCAGATAGATAATTAAATTTTTGAGCACACAAACTTGGGTATGACTTCTGAGATAATGAATTTGTAATCCTACCTCTGGAAGTCGATAAGGTTCTATTCCACCATCAAGTTTTTCTTTGAGAGCACTGTTTGTCTGTTTAATATTCTGGATCTAAAAGGGAAAAAGATTTTCATTTAAAAATGAACAACTTTTATAAAGGTATGAAAGAGATCTAAAAAATAAACAAAAAACCCCAAGAGCAGAGAAGTTCCTAATCCCTGTTGTGGCCAAAATTTAAGGTCCATATAGTATCTCTTGAAGGAATCTAACAAGAAGACTCTTTAATCTACTTGCTCAGAGCAACAGACAAGGACAGCTAAGGAGGGGAGGGCAAAGAAGAAGTATACAAGTCCAATCGACTGTTTCCTAACAGGTACAAAATACATGGCTCAAGTCTGACCCAAGTGAGGAATGGTCTGGGCTTCCCACCACACAGAAATGAGGTGGAGTAAGGAAGCAGCCAAAGAGACATAGGCTTTCTAGCAGAACTGCAATGACAGTCTTCTAGAGCCCCTACACTGTGCTGTCCAGGACCCTTGCTGGTTCTACATCACTGGTTCTACACAAGGCAGACATGCACAAGAGTAGATCTTTAATGGAGGAAAAAAGAAAGCAATGTGACAGCAAGTTTTCCATGAGCCTAACTTTGATCAATTGTAATATCTTCATGTTTTCACAAGTTACTTTTCCACATTTTTGCTTTGACTTAACAATGCACCTAATCTTTCTCTGCCTGTGCCAATCATAAGACAAACGATACACATCAGCCAACCAAGCTATGTCTACTCTAATTTTCCCATGAACTCCTGAATGAGACAGACCACAGACCACAGCAGCCCTTTTCTCTGCTCTCCAAGTAGAGGGCATTTCCATGCTGTGTACTAGGAGAACTCAGATTCTAGCATTTTTCATCTATGCAAAAGCAAGTAAGAAAGCAACAGAAAGAAGAGGCTGACTTACTAAGAAAAACGTGAAAGACATGCATGAAGCAATCCAAGAAAAAAATCTTACTAGTACAGGAAAATGAAGAAAAGCAGGACTTTAGAGGTAGGGGAGAGTGAGGAGTATAGACTGTTTAATAATTTATCTTCTTTTTAAATGACTTTTTATACTTACACAATCTTTTGAAATTCCTTCTTTAAGTGGTTATATTGTATAGAATTCCAATTTCACAAGCTCTTTCCTCCTGTATTTATTTGTGTGTGGGTGTGTTGAGATAGGGTCTCACTATGTAGCTCAGGCTGGTCTTAAACTTCTTGATTTTCCTGCCTCACCCTTCCCAGTGCTGAGATTACAGATGACTTCCACCATGCCTAGTTCATCTTTTATTTTTTCCTAAATTTTTTTTTTCTCCCTGCAGCATTGGGGTTTGAACTCAGGGCCTCATGATTGCTAGACTGGTGCTCTTTTCTATGGTGGGTATTTTTGAGATAGGGTCTTTGAAACTATTTGCTCGGGGTTGGTTTTGAATTGTGATCCTTCTGATCTCTGCCTCCTGAGTAGCTAGGATTTGCAGACATGAACCACTGTAGCTCAGCTTTCTAAAAGTTCTTCAAAGGGGAGGGTAGGAAAATATTTTCCTCAGTGTGGGACCAGCAGCCAAGTAAAAAGTAAAACCAGCCCTGTATAGACCAGAATCTGACAGTTTGACATCAGTAAATGTACTAGAGTGTAATAGTAATATTCCACACTAATGCCAAAACAGAAGAACAATTAAAAAGAAAAATATAGGGGATGTGCATAAAATTTAGCATCCATAGGGCTGGAGGCTCGTGACTTAAGCAGTAGGAGAACATACTAAGGAAGTATAAAATCTGTTTGCAGACCCCACTGCCACAAAAAATAAGTAAGTGAATAAATAAATTTACCCTACAATAAAGCCACAAATGGGGACCTTGATTTAACTTATTATGTTGTGAAAAGGTGCACATTGGAAGAAAATACTGATATCAGAACTTTATTACCAGTAAGTTCTCAATGCCAAGCTCTTTTAACTAGCATCGCCCAATGGCCCGGCGATGACAATAACCCTCAGTTGTGCTGTCTGAACTCTTCCACTAACAAATGACAAAGTGCTACCTACTGGGGACCCTGCGCATGATCACCACATCTTCCTTGGCTAAAATCTCAGGCTTAAATACGTCCAACAGGTCATAAGCCAATTCTTAAAAGTCAAGGTCTAGGGCTGGGGGCATGCAAGTGTAGAGCACCTGCCTAGCAAGTGTGAGGCCCTGAGTTCAAACCCCAGTACCATAATTAAAAAAAAAAAAAAAGGCAGGATCTAGAATGGATCTAGAATATTGTGTGTCACTGAGCATTCCAGGGAAATGTGTCACTTGATCAGTTCTGCATAGATGGCCCAAACAATATACATTGCACCATGACTAAGTAACATGTATTTTCCAAGAGGATTCATGTGCTTAACACAGCACTTTCTGTATAAAAGCAATTAATAAAAGAGGCAGGGAGATTAAATGTACAACATCTTTCTGGGCCAAAAAGTAGTTCTAAATTCTCGTAAGCCTAACTCCTGTTCCTGATATAGTAACCAAATCAGAAATATCCAAGGTCCACGCCTGAAATCCCAGCACTCAGCAGACTGAGGTAAAAGTAAGGGATTGAGAGCTGTGTAGTTGGACTGCACAGCAAGACAAGAAAAAAAAAAGTGCAAGAAATATCCAGTTTTGGATCAGAGAATGAATAGCGGTTAGCTGCCTACAATGTACCAACTGGAAAGACAGTCTAAGTGGTAACAAATTAGGTAAGAAACAGGACACAAAAGCAATCAGCATTTAAAGAAAAAAAAAATCAAAAACAGCAAAAGTAACCCACATGGACTGATGCTCCACCTGGACTGCCCAGTGGAACATAGCTTCCTCTTCTATTTTATCGTGTATGTAGTGACTCTTCTCTCCTGTCAGACCATTTAATTCTATGCTTAGAGAAAGACCTGCTGCAAAAACACATCTTAGCCCCTTCCTCCCTCCATTTTCTGACAGAGGATGACGATGCTCCAAGTGTGCAAGGCCCTGGCATGTCTTCTGTTAAGGCTTTTGCTTTCCCAGTTAACAGGGACAGACAGGTTAGATCCACCTCCACTTTATCTTCTTTCTGTCCTGAATACAGATGTGAGGGTTACACTACAAAATGGCTTCCACAACTGATAAACTAAGAATGGCAAAGGAGAGAACCTAAAAGAACCTAGATCCTTGACAGCATCACTGAACAGATAAACTAACGCCCAGAACTACTGATGGACTTCCTGCTAATAAAGAAAAATCATTCCTTGGTTGATTGAGCTGTTATCAGGTTTTGTTATTTTTCAGGTGAGTGTTTCTGCAATAACCCAGCAAATCTCGGGGACCCAGATTAACTATCCCTCAAATGGCTGTAGTTTTGAATGGAGAAATGCATTTGACAGTGAATGCACTACTGGGCTGTAGCACTGCTGGATGTGGTGTGCACTTGACATCTATTTTCTCCTCTTTAGTTAGGCTCTATGCACTCTTCAAAGCTGTCAACACCTGAATAGCTACCCTCAAAACAGAAAATTTCCTGCCTTTGACCCTACTCTGAAAACAAAAGAATCTTTAAATCTTGTGCCAGAATCAGTGATACCTCTGTGGAAGAAAGGAGCTTCTTCTTTCTTCAACACATCAACATGAAACAGTAATCACTAGACGCTCACTCACTAGAGGGTAGAATAAGCTTCCTTGTAGGGGAAGACAAAAGTAGGGACAAGAGCTTAGGGCCCTTATCAGAGAGTTCTCGCACAGCAAACAGAGCTTAAAATGCTGTGGCCTGGCAACCCTGATAGATCCTGTAAGATTAGGCTGAAAGGATTAATCTCCTCATTTGAAAAGAGGCCCAAGAAGATTAAGCAATTCTTCTAAGATAAGAGCACAGCTGTACCAGCAGTCAAGCTAAGGAGCTGGCTTCTGATTCCAGGGGCATGCTTGGCCCTGGTCTGTGTGGTGTTCCTCCCCATACCCAAACACAGTTAGGGGCCACAGGCCCAGCTCTTCTCACTGGGCAATGACAGCTGGCCTCCCATTTAACCGCGAAAGGAAACCATTTAAGATTAACAAATCAAAAGCAAAAAAACAAAAACACAACACAAAAACAAAAATAAATGGCAGTTGCAATTTCCTGATGGTTTTCTGGAACTACAGAGAGAGAGAGAATAAACTGATGAAAGACCCAACACTAGACTGCTAGGCTGAATTTTCAGTTTAAATGTACTATACACCAGATTAAAGTGATGAGCTCTTTCTACATAGCAAGCACAAATAACCAGAAAAGATAATTTAAAAACAACATCCTTTACAAGAACACCAGAAAAAAAAAGTACCAAATACCCAAGAATGACTATAACAAAGGATGTACAAGCCTTGTACACAGAGTATGACAGAACACAGAGAAATTAAAGACCTATAAGATAAGGGGATACAGCGTCTTCATATAGAAAACTCAATAAGGGCTTTTTGATCAAGTGGAGTAGGTGCCGTGGTGTTATTGCTGGTGTTGAATCCAGAACCGTAGCTGGACATGGGGCTGGAGGATGAGCGAAAGATGCTGACTGGATCTGGAGATCCGAAAGAGGAGGAAGAGGAGGAGGAGGAATTAGTGGATCCCCTAACAAAAGTGAGAGAGCAATGTGAACAGCAGGAGAAATGTGTAAAGGCCCGGGAGCTACTAGAGCTCTGTGATGCGCGTGTATCTTCCCGATCACAGACAGAAGAGGAATGCACTGAGGAACTCTTTGACTTCTTGCATGCAAGGGACCACTGTGTGGCCCACAAACTCTTTAACAGCTTGAAGTAAATGTGCAGATGCATTCACCTCAGCCTGTATCACCTGGGCATCAGGATATTTCCTTGTGGTTTTGAACATGCTGTTAGTTTCTAATGTGTGTAACTATAAATTCCTATAAATTTTGGGTTTAGCTTAAGACCTTCCATATAAGTAGCAGTGATCCAAGTTAATAAAGTCCTATGGTCTTTAAAAAAAAAAAAAAAAACTCAATAAGGATTTTTTTTTTGGCCAATACTGGGGTTTCAACTCATGGCCCCACACTTGCTAGGCAGGTGCTCTACAATTTGAGCCACTCTGCCAGCCACTCAATAAGGATTTTAATTTGATAGCTGCAATACAATCCCAATGACAACTCTAGCAGATTTATTTTTCTGGAAATTGAGAAAATGATATAAATTTTTAAATGGAAACACAAAGGTCCAAGAATAACTAAGACTTAGGAAATTTATACTATCATATACATATAAATTTGTAAAGTACAATAAAATTAGGACAGTAAGTATTGGTGATGGAAGAACAAAGATCAAAAGGTACAGAGAACCCAAAACCAGAACCATTCATATACAGACGCTAGATTTAAAACAAAGGTCCTGCTACACTGGGGAAGGGAAATCTTTCCAATAAGAAGTACTTGGTCAAACGGATGTATGTATTTAAACACTGAGTATTAAACATACACTTAACAACATTTCCTAGTGGATTGAAGATAAAATGCAAAAAGTAAAACAATGCCTGCCATTATGATGACATGGAGCCTATCTTCAAAAGCTGGAGAGAGGTTCTTATCAGAAATCAAAAAACATCAACCAAGTTGGGTGCCAGTGATTCCCTACTGTAATCCTAGCTACTTGGGAGGCTGAGATAGGCAGGATCTTGGTTTGAGACAAGCCTGGGCAAATAGTTCTTGAGACCCCCATCTCCAAAATTAACTAGAGCAAAATGAACTGGAGGTGTGGCTCAAATGGTACAGTGCCTGCTTTAAAAATTTGAAGCCCTGAGTTCAAATCCCACAAAAAGCAAACCAACAAAAAAACCAAAACAAAAAACAGACCACAAACCAGAAGGTAAGACTGAGAAACTTAAAGAATTTCAGGGCTGCGGCTATGCTATAGGGCATTTGTGAGGTCCTGAATCTAAACCCTAGTACTGCCAAAAAAAAAAAAAATTAAGATGATAACATTAAGATTTTTGACAAAGGCACCCAAAACATATAATGGAGATGTCTTTTCTCTCAACAAATGTTGCTGGGAAAACTGATCTCTACATTTAGAAAGTTCAAGCTAGACCCATCTCTTTCACCCTGTACAAGTATCAATTCAAAATGGATCAAAGAACTTTACATAAGGCCTGAAACTTTGAAACTCGTACAGGAACTGCAACTTATAGCCATAGGCAATAACTTCTTAAAAAGAACTCAAATGGCTCAGCAACTAAGAGAAAGGACTCACAAATGGGACTCTATGAAACTAAAAAGTATCTGCACAGCAAAGAAAATGGTCATCAGACTGAAGAGGCAGCCCACACAATGGGAGAAAATCTTTGCCAGCTATGCATCAGACAAGGGATTAATAACCAGAATACACAGGGAGCTCAAAAAACTAAATTCCCAAAGAATCAATAACCCAATGAAGAAACGGGCAAATGAACTAATAGAGCTTTTTCAAATGGTCAAAAAGCACATGAAGAGGGCTGGGCGTCAGTGGCTCACACCTGTAATCCTAGCTACGCAGGAGGCAGAGATCAGGAGAATTGTGGTTAGAAGCCAACCTGGATAAATAGTTCGTGAGACTCTATCTCAAAAAAACCCCTTCACAAGAAAGGGCTGGTGGAGTGGCTCAAGGTGAAGGCCCTAAGTTCAAACTCCAGTACCACAAAAAAAGCACATGAAGAAATGCTGAACATTCCACCTCACGCCTGTTAGATTTCCATCATCTAGAACAAAAACAACAAATGTTGATGAGGATGTGGGGAGAAAAGAACTCTTGTACATTGTTGGTAGGAATGTAAATTAGTATAACCACTATGGAAAACAGTATGGAGGCTTCTCAAAAAACTAAAAATACAACTGCCATATGATCCAGCAGTACCACTCCTAGGGATATATCTGAAGGAATGTGAGTCAGGTTACAATAAGACACTTACACCCCCATGTTTATTGTAGCATTATTCACAACAGCCAAGCTATGGGAATGACTCAGATGCCCTAAAACTGATTAATGAATTAAGAAAACATGGTATATGGGGTTGGCAGAGTGGCCCAAGTGATAAAGAATCTGCCTAGAAAGCATGAGCCCCCCCCAAAATGTGGTATATACACACAATAGAGTATTATTCAGTCAGAAAAAAAGAATGGGATGTCATTCACAGGTAAATAGATGGAACTGGAGCACATCATCTTAAGTGAAGTTAGCCAGGTTCAGAAAGCCAAAGGTCACATGTTTTCACTCATATGTGGAAGACAGATCTAATATAAATACAAGTATTATCAGAATACATATAAATATACACAGAACATGTTTCCAAAGTGAGACTGTTAAGAGGATACTATGGGAGGAGGAAAAGAAGAAAAGAATGATAAAGAGTGCATAATAATGCAATACATCACATCTGTGTAGGAACAAAACACAATGAAACACGCTGAAAACTGTTAAATAATACAGGTTGGAGGGAAAAGGAGAAGAGGAGAGGAGAGGATTAGACTGATCTAAGCACAATGTATTTACTGGTAAAATACCAAGGTAAAATCCCCACTGAACAACAAACAGACACTTAAACAAAGAAAAATAGGAAAGTAAAACAGATCATGTTGAGAGAAGGGCACTTGTGAAGGGGGAAGGAGAGTAAATGAGGAGGATTAAGGAGGATGAATATAGTTGATGTACTTTCTATACATGTATAAATATGGAACACTGAAACCTGTTGAAGTTATTTTAAAAAGGGGAAGAGGGTAGGAGGGAGAATAATGGAAGGTAATGAACCAAGTCAGGGTATAATATATGTATATGTGGAAATGCCATAATGAAACCCTCTGTGTAACTATTATATACTAATAAAAATGTTTTTAAAAAAAGAAGAAAAAAAGAGTAGAAAGGGAAGACACAGAGTGGGAAATGTATCTATGAGACAAGCAGGTAGTAATCAATTCAGATCTTGAATGAAGAAAACATCCACACATCAGTAAGAAAACACACAAGGTACAGGCAAGAACTTCATGAGCTTGAGGCCAGCCTATGCTATACAGCCTCAGAAAAGAAAAAAAAAAAAAAAAAAGTCTGGATAGACATGTCACAAAAGAGGATATCCAAATGGCCAATAAATAGATGAAAAGGTGAGTGGTCTCACTAGTCACGAAAGGACAACGAGATGTCATCAAAAACCCACCACAAAAAGACTTCAATTTAAAAGACTAACAAAGTGTTGGCAATGATGTGCAGCAATGGTTCTCAAATGTTCAAATATGCCCCTCAGGAGTGACTTCACATTGCCTGGGGACATTTCTGAAGTCACATTTGGTAGGGGAAGTATGTAACAGGCACATGGTGAGTGGTGCACAGTACAGTCCAAGATGCCAGCAGTGATGCAGAGAAATGCTGGGGTGGTGTGACCAAAACTCATGTAAACTGACAGGAACACTTTGGAAAGCTGGTTTACTTTTCTTTTTCTCTCTTTGGTGGTGCTGAGGATTGAGCTTGTTTGCTAGGTGCTCTACCACTTGAGCCACACTTCCAATTCTTCTGCTTTGAGTTTGTTTGTCAGACAGAGTCATTTACTTTTGCCTGGGCTGGCCTCGGACAGAAATCCTCAGTAGCTGGGATTACACGTGTGCCCTGCAACACCTGGGCTAGCTGGCATGTTTTCTAATGCTGGACATATACATATATGATAATCTAGCAATTCTACTCTTAGGGATACATGGAGATGTGTCCAACAGAGAAGTATACATAACACACCAAATTATATAAACCATATTCATAGCAATATTATCTACAATGGCCAAAAATGCAAAACAGGGCTGGAGGTGTGGCTCAAGTGGTAGAGTGCTGGTTCCACAAGCACAAGGCAGAGTTCAAACCCCAGTACTGCCAACATATTAAATAAATAAATCTTAAAAAAAAAAAAAAAAAAAAAAAGCTGAACAACCCAATGTCTACTGATAGTAAAATGGATAACCTGTACACTATTTATATAGTTACGAGAACAGGAGTAATGGCTCCATACTATACAAATTTATCTCACATGTTGAAAGAAAGTCACACATAAAAAGTAATACCATATGGTTATGTTTATGTAAAGTCCAAAAATGGATAACAAAAACTGTGGTTTTTTAGTTTGTTTTGTTTGCTGGCAGGGTTCCAGCCAAGGGCTCTACAATTAAGCTACAAGCCCACCCAGAATCTGTGTTGTTTTTTTTTTTTTTTTGGCCATACTGGGCAGGACATTTGTTAGCCAGGTACTCTACTACTTCAGCCATTCTGACAGCCCAAATCTGCTTTTAAAAACATATCAAAATAGTGGCCCTCTCCTGGAGAAGACAGGTGATGAATGAGGATGTGACTGGAGCTCTGAAGCTTCTGCATTTCTTTTCTCTCTCTCTCATTTCCCTACCCCCCCCTTTCAGAACTGAGGTTTAGACTCTGGCTTCATGCTTACTGGCAGGCACTCTACTGCTCGAATCACACCTCCAGTCCCAATGCTTCATTTCTTGAAGGGAACAATAACTAAAAGGGGAAACAAGGGTTGTTTGGGGGGCCATGTTCCACTTTCTGATCTAGATAGAGGTCACCTGAGTACACACACAAATGTATGTACTACATATAATGCCCATATACTTTTCCCTCTATGTAATACAATTTCAAAGTAAATAAAAAAATCCATGGCCATACCCTGAATCTTCTAATTCCTTAGAAACAAAATGCTTTTTTTGGGATTTGTGGAAAGGGACATCTGTATGAACAGTAACACCACCTCCAGGATGCAAGCTGACTGGTGTCACCACACTGGGCTTGTGAGTGGTACCTGTCGTTTGATGGAGACCAACTCCATGTCCAGCTGTCTGAGCACCGTGGTAGCAGCAGTGGCATTGGCAGAAACAGCCTCCACGTCTTCTTGAGAGAGAAACATTCCTTTTGGAGGTTTTCTTTTTGCTCTATTTTTAGCTTGTGTGCTATGTTTTTCTTTTTTGACCTGAGGAACTGTCTCAGTAGGGGGCACCTGCATGATATACATATTTGATAAATGAAACTAAAAAACAAAAATGTCAAGTTAATTGCAATAGCATATGTCATTAACATGTTCCCCCACACAACTAAGACAAATACCATGCTGTATTCTAATTACCATCTACAAATTTTAATGCATAGTTAGCAGCCAAAGACTGTGGCTATCAGATTTTACTAAACACTTCAAAGTGTAATGTTTCCTTGTGGAACAAAGAACATTCTTATTCTGTCTCTTTAAGCCTCTCATAGTAACTCATACAGGAAGGAAAAAATTCTGTATTTTCCTCTTGTGAGTTTTGTGGTTATGTATTTATCTACATGACATACAGATAAGTGAAAAGAGAGCAACTTTATCTTAATAGCAGTCTCTAGCAATACAGATGACTGTATGACCATAGGCAGGAGAGAAACAAAAAAAAAAAGAGAGAGACCTGTACTTAAATCTTTCCATTAAGAATACAAACTTTAGGGACAGGTATGATGGCTCATTCTATAATCCCAGCTATTTGAGAGACAGAGATCAGGAAGATCATGGTTCAAGGTCAGCCCAGGCAAGTCAGAGAGAACAAGTAAGCTGGGCATGGTGGTACATGCCCACAATCCCAGCTACGTGGGAGGTCATAAGTAGGAGGATTGAGGTTCAAGGCTGGCTCCAGTCAAAATCACAAGAGACCCCTACCCTCAATCTCCCAAAATAACTAAAGTAAAAAAGGGGTAGAGGTGTGGCTCAAGTGGTAAGAAAAAAGAAAAAAAAAATTAAAAAACCCAACAACTATGACTTTTTGCTCATCGGTTTTGTGGAACAGCACTTAGCTTTTAGAGCAATTTATTTAATTTGCTATTAAAGAATATGTGCTATCATTTAAAAAGACATGACAACCACTGGTTTTTTAAAGTGCTTTCTCTAAAACCAAAAGTTTCAGAAATACAACATAATAAAATCTTGTCAAGGAATGGACTGTCTTACTGGTAATCATTTTAGGAAAAATAAGTTTTCATAACTGTTCATTTTCTCATTTTGTTGGGGTAACATCATGGATAAAACTGAAAATAAGTTCAGGTGGCTTTTTGCTTTGTGTTTTTAAAGACCAAGATATAAACAGACAATGTAAACTAAGACAGTAATGTAATAAGTAACATATAGCAGTGTTAGTAGGTGATATACCATGTTCTGTGTGTTACTTCAGTAGACTAACCTACTGACCACTGTCTGTACTTTTTAACATTTTGTATTTAAAAGAAACTAATATTTAACCAATTTTTTAATCAGAAATTGTGCTACTATATATACATAAATAAGAGTTACAGAAAATGACATACAGGCAAGCCTTCTCTCCTTCTTTTAAAATGTTTAATTGAAAAACCTAATAAAACAGAGCTTACAAGACTCCAAGTACAATGTCATTTGGCAAACACTCTATTTCAACTGAATTAGTACCTTGTGGTTCAAGCACTCCTGTAAAACACTGGAAGATAACCAATTTCTAGTTTGGTGAATGTATCAAAAGAAGCTTTAAAAATGCCTATTCAACACGTGGAAGCAACAACTCAACTTCCAAACATTACTTCTAATGGAAAACGCAAGTGCACAAGTATCTCGGTATGCGACCTGAATGTATTCAGCACTGTTACAGCAGCAAAGAGCAGGGGGAGTAAGCGAGCTAGAAAGCCACAGAAGATCAGCAAACTCAAATTTGAAAGATTCATATTATGGAATAATACACAGCTAGGCATACAAATATATTTGACATTAAAACATTTTCAAAGTAGTAAATTTAAAAAGTTGTGAAAATTACATGTAAGATCCCCCTTTTATTATTTATAAAAAAGTGAATAGATTGGGCACATTTTACACAGAAAGTTGTCTGGAGAGTTACCAAAATGTTAACAGTGTCTGTTGGTGCTTTTTCTTGTCATTTTTGGTGATACTGGGGGGTTGAACTCAGGGCCCTGGACTTATGAGACTGATATTCTACCACTTAAGCCATGTCCCAGCCCTTTTTGCTTTTTAGTCACTTTTGAAAATAGGGTCTTGCTTTAGCCTGGAGGGCGGTTCTCCTATTTATGTTTCCCATAGAGCTGGGGTGACAAGTGCGCCATGTCTAGCGTTTTCTAATGCCACGGGATGAAGGGAACTTTTGGGTTTGGCTGACCTCAAACTGCGAACCTCCTGTGTAGCTAGGATTGCAGGTGTGAGCCACCAAGTCCAGTCAACTTTCTTCTTTTTGTTTAGCTCTATTTCCTATTTTGTAAAAACATGTATCATAGCTATACTTATAAAATATAGATATGTCTAGATCCTTTCGTTTTTCCACGCTTAAAAACTAACTGATCATATATGATGGAAGATACAGAACTCTTTGAGAATTTTACTGACACCATAGGCTTTGTATTCAGAAAAACACCAATCTGAACACACATAAAGGTCATAAAGAATTGTGGGGGCTCATGAGCCTCTTGAATTCAGAGTCTAAAACAATCTCTGTGTAATGATTTTTAATTACACAGATTAAGTAGTCACCACATCTGTGAGGACTGACATGGCTCACCTTGTGACCACACTGATGTTTCTGAGTAGCACGAGTTTTTACTGAGCCCATCAGGTCCCAGAGGTTACTTTAACCTCAAGACCCAGTGTGTGCAGATCCCGGGCAGTGGCAGTTTAGACAGGCTGGGAGGAGTTGTAGAACAGCAGCCCACCTTCCTAACACCACTCTCCTGCTGACTTACAGAGGACATGACATCACAGGCACAAACCCTTTACTCACCAATGCTACCTTCTCCTTTAAGGCTTCCATAACTCATGATTCCTGGCAAACAGAATTCTAAGGTCTATATAAAGCAAAGTTGGTATTGTTTAAAAAGTCCTAACAGGACCTTTGTACACAGCACTTAATATACTAAGTAGAATACAGAAGAGGAACTTTTACTTGTGAAAATAATAAGGAGCTGTATTTGCCTAAATGATACTAGGGAAAAAGATACCTCCTTTTTGCTTTCCTTGTTTTGATCAATCTCAATGTCAATGGGGTTACTTCCATTTGTTTCTTCCAGTTCATCCTCACTGGAAGACAAGAACAAGTTACTAAAAGGTTATTCTGTATTAATTCTATTTCATATAAAAATATAAGCACCAGCTGATTTAGTGACAGATTTAATATAAAATTACTCTATACATCACATTCATGAGACAAAAACATTTATATAATTCAAATAGAATAACAACTTCATAGTTCTTTTAGTCTCAATTATGAAAAACTACTACATAAAAGTAAGTTTCCAAGTGCCCAAAGCAGGTTTAGAACACTTACTCTACACTTGTCAAGTGTTTTCTTTCAATTCTCAGCTGAAATTATCAAATATAGAAGATATTTACTTTTTTCCCCCATAATTATCTACATTGGAAGACTAGGACATGATCACTCAACAAAACAGCAATTTTGCAATGAGTTCCAGTGCATTGGTAACAAACCTGGCAACAGGTAAAAATCCATTTTCAAGTCCCATCTTTCAACTGATGGACACACAAAGACTGAGGCTTTTGGTGGACTGAGTAACAGATTTTTCTTTTTTTCCCGCCCCCCCCGGGTACTGAGGATTGAACTCAGTGCTTCATGCTTGCTTGGCAAGCACTCTACCACTTTAGCCAAGCCCCCAGCTCTGATGTTTTAAAATTATATATATGTGCATATATACTTGTGTGTATGTATTTGTGTATACACACACACGCACACACACACACACACACACGTAACTGAATGAATAAAAAGGAATCAGGAGGTGGACACAGGGAGAATATGGCTTGAGGCCAGTCCAGGGAAAAGTTAGTGAGACCTCCATCTTAATCCCGACTATGACACAGACAGAAGAATGAGGATCATGGTCCAAAGCAGGCCGCTGGGCAAACAAAGAAATACTTTACCCCAAAAAAAACAACTAAAGCAAAAAAGGGCTTTGAGGCATGGCTCAAGAAGTAAGGTGCTTACCTAGCAAGCTCCAGAGCTGAGTCAGAGCCACTACTGCTGGGGGGTGGGGGTGGGCCGCGGACTAGCACTGGCACAGCACTTCAAGTGCTGTTTGCCTGTGTAGCTAGGAACTCTGTCTTTAAAAATGAGGCAACATCATCTCACAGAAGCCAGGGTGACCTCCTGGGCTGTCCAGACAAACCCAGGAGCAGTGTGATGGCACAACACGAGTCTTTAGGACCAGCCTCCACTGTGGCTCAGGAATCCCGCAGTGGAACTTGCCTACTGAGCAGCACCTCTTCCCTAGTCTCCACTGAGCCTCAAAGGAATTCTAGCCGAGGACAGTGTGCAAGAGAACTTGAGGCTCAGGGAATTTTGCTAGAGTCCTTACCATTACTTCACAGGCAAGTCCTCTGGGAGCTCAGTAACTGCTCAGGTGCAACTACCATCACAGCCTTGTACCCATGTCAGTCCTGTCAACGTGAGGGTGCACATGGGATGGGGACGTACAGCAGTTCTGAGCACCAATGGAGGAAATGCAAAGAGAAGCACCTGGGTGGTGCATAATCAAGGATACCCAATCCAGGTTGTGGTGAGTGGCTCAAATGGTAGTGAGGCCTATCTAGCAAGCACAAAACCTGAGTTCAAATCCTAGTATTGATCAAAAAAAGGGAAAAACCACCCCAATCTATTTTAACTGATTGGCACGTGCTGGACCTGTTGCTGTGGCCACCCCCCCGCACACAACACAGTCAGGCACACACAACCAACACCAAACAAACACACCACATGGATCGCTGAGAGCGGTATACGGGGGGTATCCTGCCTAGAGCGGGGGGGCTGGATGGTGATCTTGCGGTCAGGATGTCCGAGGCGGTGTCGCGAGGGCCTCGCCCACGGGTGACGCGGGGACGATTCCTCGTAGTCAATGTAGATCGCGGGTTCCTCGGGAGGCACTGGGATAGCGCTGCGTGCCAGCGCCTGACCGCTCACTCCCGACAGGTGTGCGCATCGGCACCCACAACAACGCACGCAAAGGCCCACCCCCACACACCACGCACCCACACACAACGCACTACACCAGCACCACCCACCCCAAGAACCACACCACAACCACACACCCCCACGACCAACGCCACCCACCACACTAACGCGCCCCACCACATCAGGGATACGCCACACCGCACCACACACCACCCACCACCACACCCCACACCGACACCGCAACACCACTCGTAACCCGCCAAGAGCGGGTATCCGTCGGGCGCGTTGCCTTGGTTATTGCACATGCTTGTAACAGACTGATTTTATAATTAAAACTAAAGCTAACATAAGGAAATAAACACTTAATCTAAATTTTTAAGAGTACCATCCGTAAACAGGCCTAATCAATAACAACATGGGCAGAAGAATACGCACATGGGAAATGAAGGTTCATCGGGGCCAGCCTCTTCGATAATCTAGTGCATACTGGTACAGCTGGGATTCTAGGCTGCAGCAGATCATGCCAGCTTTAGTTGGTTACAAAGGGGGATTGGAGAGTGGCGCGGGGAGCGCGTTTGACTAACTTTTTTGCCCGGTTGGCCCAGAACTCACAATTCTTCCGAATCTCCACCTCCCCAAGTAAGCTGGGATTTACATGTGGTGTGGCAGCAAGCCCAGCTTTGTTGATGTTAGTTAGCATCACTATGAATTTACACTTGGGGCACAAAAGTATGAATTTTCCAAAAGTGATACTCCATTCTCAGTGTTGTTCTCACATGTTATATTTCTTTATGAGGTAATAATAAAATCTGTCCATGCAGTTCACTGTCCATTTACTTTGTACTGTTAATCTCTGAAAATAATGTATTAATAGAAAATGTGGAGAAAACAAATTTTAAAGGCCATCTATATTTCTGCCACTCTAACACAAAACCCTATGTAAGCAGCACTGTTTCTGGACTTGAAGCACCTTCCGTTCAGTTGAGAAGGCAGGCTTGGGAGGAGGCATACACTGAACTAATGAACTTGCCTCGGAGTATGCCAAGCAGAACTTCAGAGCTGAGCCTAGAGCTCCATTATGAGTGAAGACCATGGCCATCATCCCACTGCTCTCTGCTGTGTGGTACAGCTGAGGAGGAGATAGCTAAGACAACAGACTTTTCTGACTAAAGCTTAATGGGTTATCCTGAAAACTGACATCCCCAGCGCAGCCAAAAATAAATAAAAAGGGGGAAGGGAGAGGAGGGAGAAGAGAAAAATCAATGAAAATAATCTAACATCTTTTTAAGAAATTAAAAATCGTTTCTCCTTCTCATTCTCACAAGACAGATTGGTTAAAAAAGAGGAAGAAGGAAACCTAAACCTGAATTCTTTTTTAAAACACAAACCAAAACACACATGTAAATGAATACTGTATTAACATGACCAAATAAATTTCAATCCTACAAAACGAGAGATTCTTTCTATTAAAAGGAGTCAACTTCAAGGGGCAGAAAGAAAAACACCGTTAAAGTTCATTCATTCCAGATTGAAGCTCACTGGCCTCAAGAAGCCTGGGGAAGAAAATTTCTCAGGGAAGCTAACTCATCAGCACTTAGGGAAGAGTAAACTTGTCTAAGTCCCTGATTCCACCAGGCAGAGCTGGAGAAATCCAGTACTCCCACCTCTTCTCAGAGTGCCTTGCAGCATTTAAGGTGAGCAACAACCCCAGCAGCACTCTCACCTTTCTCTCCGCTCCCGTTTTTGTTTCCGAGCATGGCGGTCCATCACGCTGGTTTTAGTTCTTGTCTTCTTCCAAGTAGAGCTAGTAAAATTTCACCGAGACTTGCTATAGATTTATCAGGAAGCTAAATGTAAAAAATGAGCTAGTTTAGATTGAAGCCAACTATTCACAACTCAAATTTGTCTTTAGATGTATTTAATAAGAAACCACTCTTACATATTCAGAAAATGTTTCTTAATTTACAACCTTTTTTTCTGATAAGGAAAAAAAAAATAACAAAAATAAATATTTTCCTACAATGCATTTTTAAATTACTGAAGTTTGTCAAACTTGGCCAATAAAATATCATGAAGTCGATTATGATTTTTTTTTTCCATGTAACCATTACTTTATTGTCTTTTAGGGCAGTACAGGGATTTGGACTTGGGGGCCTCAGTCTTGCTAGGCAGGTGATCTACGACTTAAGCCACACTCCCAGTACTTTTGGCTTTAGTTATTTTCAGATAGGGTCTTGTGTTTTTGCCCAAGGCCGGCTTTCAGGCCATGATATCCCCCTACCTATGGCTCTCCACACAGCTGGGGAAAAGGCCTACACCAGGCCCAGCTTGTTTGTTGAGATGGGGGAGGTCTCACTAATTTTTTGCCAGACTGGCATCAAACTGTGATCTTCGCTGGTCTCCTACCTTCCATGTGTGAGCCCACTGTGCCCAGCCTAATTTTTTAAAATTAATTTTAACATTTAATGCAAATTATCAGAAAGTTTTCAAGTTGTAGTCTACCCAACAGCTTTTTAGAATGTAAAAAACAAGCAAACATTCTCCAGACAGACAGACAGACAGACAAGAACATGATGCCCCTTCTGAAAGGATAATCCAAAACCCTTCTACTGGTCTGATCCTCATTGGGAGTCCCAACAAGAGGTACTGAGACGGAGAGAGGGGAGGAGTTTCGCCAACAAGCTGCAAGTTATAACTGGAAGCCTCCCATCCACAGAGAAGCACTGGTGATCTGCTCTATTCTAAAAGGAATCTTATATTAAAAATAGGGAATTATTGAGGCTCAGGGTGCGACCCTATTCTCACACATGCTACTTACCATCTGTTGGATTCTGTGAAATGTTTTCCCATGAAAACTAAAGGCCTGCTCAAATAAGACCTTATCTTCCACAGGTCCCTCACTCATCTGGGAAGGGGTAAAGTTGGGTAGATCAGCCAGCAATGATTTTTCCAATATTATGTCTTATGCCAAAAGAGCATCCCAAGAGCCTAGAAAAAATGGTATCCAGCGAAATATTAGACCATACAAGTAACTGAATGAAACGCACTAACAGAAGACTGGTGGAAGAAAGCACTTGTGGCCTTATATGCCGACCACCAAGAAATGAATATACCTGCACTACCAGTACTGCTAAGTGGAAAACCTCATCTTCCTCCTATTCCTAGGCAGGCGCTCTACCATCTACCACCACAGCCCTCTTTTTTATAGTTAGTTATTTTTCAGATAAGTCTCATGTTTTGCCTGGGGTTGGCCTTTGGACCACACACCTCCTATTTATTTCCTGAATACCTTGGATTATAGATGAAAACCACCATGCTTGGCTTGTTGGTTGAAATGGGGTCTTGAAACACTGTCTTCCTGACATCTACCTCCTGAGTAGCCAGGATTACAGGGTTAGTCATCATCTAATTTTTTATTATGATAAAACAATAAAAAAGTACTGAATATTTTCATAATGTTGTACAACCATCACAAGCACTTCACCTCCATTAAGCTCTGCATTTTGTAGACACTGAAATTGCTGTGCCCCATGAACAACTAGCCCCATTCCCCGCAATTGTTCTGCACCCAGCTCTCTGCACTGCCATTCAACTTTTTGTCTCTATGACTGACTACTCCAGGCACTTCACGTAATAGAACTATACTGTATTTTTTTGTTTTTGTTGGTTGGTTTTATAGATGGGGACTCGAAACATAGCCCCCACCTTGAACTGGAGATCCTCCTGCCTTCAGCCTTCTGAGTGCTGGGATTAACAGGTGGGAACCACCTAACAGTATCTGTCCTTTTTGACTGGCTTATTTTTTTTTTGTCCTTCTGCAATACTGGGGTTTGAATTTAAGGCTTCACACTTCTAGGGAGGAGTCCTACCACCGGAACCACTCAGCAGCCCCTTTTTTGGTTGGGGTTTTTCCAAGATAGGGTCTTGTGAACTATTTGTCAGGGCTGGCCTTGAACAAAGATCCTCCTGAGTAGCTAGTTATAGGTGTGAGCCACCAGCACCCAACTTGTAACTGGCTGTTATTATGTAGCATAATGACATCTCTCAAAGTTCATCATGCTATAGCATATTCAGTTTGCCTTCCTTTTTCAGGCGTGAATAAACTTCACTACAGTGATACCATATTTGCTTATTTATTCACCTCTTTAGTACCTGCTTTTCAATTCTTTGGGTGTATACTTGAGCGGAATTTCAGAATCACATGGTAATACTATTTTTAATTTACATTCCAGAGACTGTCCTTGTTTGTTTTCGTATAATCTATTATAAGATTTAAAGTCTATTTTGAACCAGGCATGGTTAGTGTACACCTGTAATCTCAGCATTCAGGAGGCAGAAGATAAAAGGATCACTAGTTCTAAGCCTAGCCTGGACTGACATAGTGAGGCCTCTCAGTAAAAAGACAACCAAAAATCTGTTTTGTCTGATTGTAGTATAGTCACATCATGCTCTCACGTACTTTTTTCTAATCATTCCATTTTCAAACCTACCTGTGTCTTTGTCTCTATACACAGTGTATACTGGGACTTGAGTATTTTTACCTGTCCTGCAAATCCCTGTCTTTTGAGTGGAAAGTGTAGTCCATTTATTTTAAAGTAACTTCCAGATAAAGAAGAACCTACTTTTGTCATTTAGAGGCTTTTTTCTATAGGCCTTTTGGCCCCTCACCTCATGCCTTCCTTGGTGTCTAGCTGGTTATTGGTTATAAAGTGTTTAAAATTTCTTTCTCATTCCTTTTTCTTTTTTTAGTGGTACTAGGTTTTGTTTAAAACTCAGAACCTCATGCTTGCTGGGCAGGCACTGTACCACTTTCATGCTCTCTGGTCTTCGTTTCCTTTTGTATACATTCTGTAGCTTTTTTTTTTGGATGTACTGGATGTTGAACGTGGGGCCACTACTTGAGCTACACTCCCAGCTCGACAATGTATCCTCCCACCTCTACCTCCCAAGTGGGTGGAAAGCACAGGTGTGAGCCACTAGTCCCTGGCTTGTTCCTCTGATAGGAGGTCTAACTTTAGCACATGCTGGGCCTTCAAAGAGATTCTCCTATCTTTGCCTTCCAAGTAGCTGAGATTACAGGAATGACTCACCAATACCCCTGGCCATTCATTTTTTTTCTTTAGGTATTTTTTGGGGGGAGGATGGACTGGGGCTTTGAACGCAGGGCTTCATGCTTGTAGGCAGGTGCTTTACCACTTAGCCACTCTGCCAGCCCTTTTACAAGGTGTATTTTAAAGACAGAGTCTCATGAACTATTTGCCTGGGGCCAGCTTTGAGACACCATCCTCCTGACCTCTGCCACCAGACTGGCTAGGATTACAGAAGTGAGCCACTGACACCTGGTTTAGTTTTGGTTTTTTTGAGACAGGGCTTATTACATACCCCAAGCTGACCTCAACTGTTTATCTTCCTGCCGTCAGCCTCCAAATGCTGGGATCAAAGTGTGTGCCCACCACACCCTGCTCTACCAGCTATTTTCTTTGTGGTTACCACAGGGATTACATTTCAGATCTTAACCTAACATTCTAACTTGAATTTTATACTAGAGTAGTTCTGACGATAGAAAAACTAGCTCCTTAAATAGCTATGCCACTACTTTCAGTTGCTGACAGCATCAAATTGTATTTTCATAGCTTGTTATGCCAAAAAGTTAAGTTAATAACTCTTTTACAGGCATCGTCTCTAGTATCAGCTTTTCAACCGATTTTTTTCTACCTGTATAGTCCTCTCTTGAAGCAAATAAAAAACAGACAAGTGCAGTTACAACCACTGCTCAGTAGCAGCACTTTGACCAACGTCCATGTATTTACCTCAACTGAAGTTGTCATTCTTCATTTGGCTCTGAGTTACATTCCAGTGTCATGAGTTTCATTCCCTGCGCCGCACTCTCCTAAGCATTCCTGGAGGGCACTCCTAGACGGTATGACTCCTTCAGTTTCCGTTTATCTGTGAATGTCTTCATTTCTTTTTCATTTCTGATGGACAGTTCCATCAGATACAGGACTCTCTCTCTGTCTTGTGATGGTGGAGCGATGGAACGCCAAAACCCTTGCGCATGATAGGCAAGTGCTCTACCACTGAGTGATACTCCAGCCCAGGCATAGGAGTCTTGGTGCCCAGTTTTTCCTTTGAGCAAGCAGTGTATCGACCACTGTCTTGAGGACTTGAGTTCCTGATAGAAATCTGATAGCCTTACTGAGGATTCTGTGTATGTGGCAGATGGCTTCTCTCTTTGCTGCTTCTAATTATCTCTTGTGGTGGCTTTCTGAGAGCTCCCATGCTGCTGTCTCAGTGTCGCCTTACTTGAAGTTAGTTGGGTTGCTCTGATGTTCACGTTCATGGATTTTATCGTCTTTGGGAAGTTTGGACCATTTTTTTTTAAAAGTCTTCTTGTTCTTTCAATCTTCTCCTTCTGAAAGTCCCATTCTCCTTGATGACATCCCAAAGGACCCTTGGGTTCTATTCATTCTTCTTAAATATTTTTTTTTTTCCTGCTTGTTCTTCAACTCAGTAATTTAAGTTGTGCTGGAGTAGGGCTATAACTCAGTAGTAGAGCATTTGCTTTCGCAAGCAAGCAGGAGGTTCTGGGTTCCATCCTTTGCGCCACAAACAATAAAATAAATTGTACTATGTACAAAGTTACTGATTCTTTCTTCTGCCTGCTCAAAACTGCTTTAGAGTCCCTCAAATAAAATTTTCAGTTCAGTTATTACGATTTGTAGCTCCAGAAACTTAAAATTCTTTTTAGGCTTTTCCTTGATATTTTCATTTTGTTCATACATCATTTCTTTACCTTTCTTTATATCTTTACATCTTTCTTTATCTTCTAGTTCTTTGAATCAGTAAGAGAGAACCTTTTTAAAGTAGTTTGACCAGGCACAATGGCTGTCACCTGTAATCCTAGCTGCTTGGGAGGCAGAGATCAGGAAGACTGTGGTCTGAGGCAGGCCCAGGCAAAAAAAAAGTTAGCAAGACCTTATCTCAACCAATAAACTGGAGTGGTGGTATGTGTCTGTCATCCCGTCCAGGCCAGGTAGAGCCTATTCAAAAAATAACTAAAGCAAAAAGGGCTGGAGGTATGGCTCAAGTGATAGAGCACCTGCCTAACAAGCACAAGATTTAGGTTTTTTTGTTTTTTGTTTTTTTAAACTGGGTGAAGGCTGGAATGTAACTCAATGGCAGAGTTTGCCTGTGCAAACAAGGTCCTGTGCTACCATGTCTTTTTCAGGAACAGTTTCTGTTGCATTTTTTCCCTTTCAATGGGCCATACCTTCCTGTTTCTCTTATGCCTTGTGATTTTGTTGTTGAAAACTGGATATTTGAATTTAATAATTTAGCAACCACGTAATCAGCTGATTGCCCTTCTGCATGGTGTGACTTGTTTTTGTTATTACCATTCCTTTTTAAAAGTTGCAATCTGTCTGTATGCCAAGGATCCGCCTGAGTGGTAACTTCTCAGGTCTTTTCTAAGCCTACTTCTTTGTCAAGCCAAGTACAGCAACTTCCTAATTTTCCCTTATATGCGGTTGCTTTTGAATGCTCTAATCTTTTAATGTCTGAGAGGGAAAGGAGAAAAATGAAAGGAGATACAGAGGGAAGGACACCAGCCTTTGTATCTCTTGGAAATCACTTCAGTGGAGGGAGAGGAGTTTGCAACAAGGGCTCTGGCCTCCTTGCCTGCTCTCTCTGATAGAAGCAGCAATCAGCCCTCAGAACACAGGTCTCCACAACTGGAGGACAAGGTTCTCTTCTGCCCACCCCTGCTGTGACAAGCTACATGCAAGTTATTCCAGGAACACATATATGGCTACTGCCACAGGGCTACAGATGGGGGTGGTAGCTGCTACCCTAGCGTGAATGGAAACTGTACATGCTGCAAGTCTTTAGAGACCCCAGAGTCCCAGTTACATCACACATACTCTGCAGTGCAATTCTTGTCTAGATAGGGAGACACAGACTCCCAGAGCATCCTATTCTGCCACTGTTTCAGAATCCTCTTGTCACATGCCCTTTTATATAGTAATTTATTTATCTCACTAGCCCTGTAAATTCTGTTATCTCTATGTCTCAATTAGAACACGGAGGCACTGAGACTCTGAGTAACTTGCCAGCTGTCACAGAGCTAGTAAGTGGCAGAAGCACAAAGACAGCTAGTAAAGTACTGAACTTTTTTTTTTTTTTTTGGTGGTGGTACTGGATGTTTGAGCTCAGTTGCTTCACTCCTGCTAAATAGGCACGCTACCACTTGAGCCATGCCTCTAGTCCTCTTTACTTTGGTTATTTTTGAGATAGGTTTCACTTCATGCCTGGGCTGGCCTAGAAAGCAATCCTTCTATTTATGCTTCCAGGTTGCTGGTATTATAGACATGTACCACTGAGCCCAGCTTTTATTAAGATTGAGCCTCTCAAACTGTTTGCCCTGTTGGCCTTGAATCTTTTACAGGCATGATTATACCTCTGTGTATAAAAGGACCAAGGAGTACAAAACCAATTATTCTGTTACTCTTTTACACAGACACCTATCATATATAGTTGTTTTTTCAGTTCAGAAAGGGAAAAAATACAAATAGGTGAGATACAAATTAAAACTAATGAAAAATCTACTTTCCCATAAAAGTTTCCTGTATCACAATTCTAAAGTAAAAAAGGATCATGCTAAGTAATTGTCTAAATATGAAAATAACCAAGACCAGGTTCCTTAAGAATTCATAAATATATTGGGCAATCACTAATACTATTTAAACATTTTGAACAGAATGAAAAACTAATGGTTTTCTGAGCTAGGGTGTAAAGTTCATGAGTAGGGTCTGGAAAAAGAAAAACATACATTTTGGCCCTTTGAATGATTTGGGAACTAACTTAATATAATTGGCTTTTCTGAAAGTACCTTCAATGACTAGGACAGAGCAATTAAAAGTAATGCCAAACCTAAATCCAACCTAAACCCAACCTAAACCCTAATCATTAGTATCAATGAGAAATGCTGGTAACTCACAGCTGTAAAAGAGCTAAATTAATGGCATGGAAAGCATTAGTACCACTTACTGTGATTAAACACCAATTAGAAATAAAATCATCATTACTTTTTTTTTTTTTTTTTTGACGTATTGGGAGGTTGAACTCATGGTCATCTGCATGCTAGGCAGTTGCTCTATCACGTGAGCCAGGATTCCAGTCCTTTTTTTTTAAACTTGTTTTTCAGATACAGTTTTGCCCCTGGACTGCAGTTTTCCTACCTTGAGTCTCCCTTTAGCTGGAATCACAGGTGCATAATACCATATTCAGCTTATTGATTGAGATGCGATCTCACTAACTTTTTGCCAGGGCTGGCCTGGAGCCACAATCCCCCAATCTCTGTGGAGGAGCTGAGATTACAGGCCTGGCTATCATTACATTTTTGTAGAAAAATAGATCTGTAGGTTTTGTTTTGTTTTGTTTTTTAGTGGTACTAGGTTTGAACTCAGAGCCTCATACTCACTAGGCAGGAGCTCTTATCACTTGAGCCAACTCTGCCAGCCCATTTCTGTGGTTTACTTATCAATGTTTCAAACAACAGTGAAAGAAAAACCTTAGTCAAGTTTTACACCCTGAAAGTGATTCAAAACAATGAAATATTAAACATGAAGCTGGGCACTGGTGGCACACACCTATACATCTAGGTTGAGATCAGTTCGAGGCCAGCCTGGGTAAATAGTTTGTGAGACCCCATCTCCAAAACAGCCAATAGCAAAATGGACTAGAGGTGTGGCTCAAGTGGTAGAGTGGTTGCTTTGCAAATGTGAAACTCCTAGTTCAAACCCCAATCCCACCAAACAAAACAAAAAAACAACAGGTTCATGGTGCGTGCCTATAACCCCAACACCCAGGAGGCCGAGAAAGAAGGATCCCAAGTCTGAGCCCAGCCTGGGCTGTACAACAAGTTCCAGACCAGGGCTATATAGCAAGACCCTGTGTCAAAAAGCCAAACGAAAACAAAGTCAGAAAACAGTGTCCTATGAACAGAATGACGAACAAAACTCATACTGTAATTGGACTTTAATCACAAGATTAAAAGCGAGTGCACACAAGGGAGATAATGAGGATAGGTAAGACACCTAAAAAATTAGCTAGCATTTGTTGCCCTCAATGCAGAGAAACTAAAGCAGATACCTTAAAAGTAATTGAGGCCAAAGGAGAAGGGGAACAGGAACTAGAGAAAAGGTTAGATCAAAAAGAATTAACCTAGAAGGTAAACATACACACACAGGAAACTAATGTGAGTCAATTCCCTGTATAGCTATCCTATCTCAACTAGCAAAAACCCGTGTTCCTTCCTATTATTGCTTATACTCTCTCTTCAACAAAATTAGAGATAAGGGCAAAATAGTTTCTGCTGGGTATTGAGGAGGTAGGGGAGAGGGAGGGGGCGGAGTGGGTGTAAGGGAGGGGGTGGGGGTAGGGGGGAGAAATGAACCAAGTGTTGTATGCACATATGAATAATAAAACAATAAAAAAAAAAACACATACTGTAATGAAAAAAACATTACAGTCCAGAATCTGACGCCCTTATGCCCACTCCATTAAAAACACAGTAGCTGGAGACCAGCACAAATGCACACTGCCTTTCAAATCAGAGGAGTGGCATGAATACTTACCTAGAGCAAGAAAAAGATATAACACTGCCAGTTGCCAGTGAAGAAAACTGATACTCAACCCAGATTAAAAATTTTCATGGACTGGCTGTAAATCCATTCTTAACAACAGAAAACATGCCATTACCTGCTCCATGTTGTACCCATGCTTCTCTTTGGCAATGGCGATGTATTCATCCACTAGAAAACAGGAGAGACCAGTGAGCAGTCTGAGGACAACACAGTCCACATCCAGTAGAGCGGACATGTCTGTTTGAAGCCTGCCTCACTCAAGATGGGAAATGAATTAATCAGTTGCAAAGCAGAATTAACTGTGTATCTTGCATATATAAATTCCACAGAGAATGTCTGGGTGAATACAATCAAGTATCAATCAGCAGTTATCATCATGTGGTAATAAGATTATGAGTGTTCTTTGAAAGAAAAAAAAAGCCTTGGTTCTATCTTTTTTTGGTGGTATTGAGAATTGAATTCAGGATCTCATACTTAGCTAGGCAGGCACTCTATCCACTTGAGCAACACCTTGCTTTAGTTATTTTTCTGATAGGGTTGTGTTTTGTCCTAGGTTGGCCTTAGATTGCAATCCTCCTACCTATGTCTCTCATGTAGTTGGGATTATAGACGCACAGTCACGTCTGGCTTGTTCTAATGGAGTCTCCCTAACTTTCTGCCTAGGCTGGCCTCAAACAGTGATCTTCACCTCTCAAGTACGTAGGCTAACTTAAATTTTCTAAAACAAGTAAGTCTTGCTTTGGTACTCTGAAAATTATTTGTTAGTAAAAGGAACTACAAACTGGGCATGGTAATGCACATCTGCAATCTCAGCACTTGGGAGGGTGAGGCAAAAGAAGCTGCCACCCCTAAAGACAGTCTACAACCTATGAAGGACATTCTGGCCTTTTCTTCTCAGGTATCCAAAAAAAAAAAAAATAGAGAACAGCACTATTAATATATGACTTTCCTTCATAAATTATAAAAATAGTGTAAGCTTAAAAACTAAAGCAACACAGAATTGCATGATCAGCAGTAAAATCTCCATTACCCCCATTTCCTCTTGCTCCAAATCTCACCCTCCAAGTACAACCATGACATGTAGAGAAGAGAGAGGCTCAGAGTGGCTCCCTTGCTCACAGTTAGATAGAGAGTACACAGAGGAGGCCTTATAAACAAGACATCTCAGTTCCAACATGCTAATCCAATTACACCACAACCACATTCCTGATTGTGGTAATAGAGAGACAACCAGTTCAATAAAATAAATCAATACTGAAAAAGAAATCAAGCTATTTTATTGACAAGTATTCAATACACAGGGGAAATTTTTCAATTGGCAAAAGAAAAAGTCAGCAATACCTATAAAGCAACTCTATTAATTTCAATAATAAGGCACTAACTTTCTATTCCTTTAATATTTAAAGTACTTCAACTTGCAGGCTACTTTATTTAGAATATAGTAAAAAATTACAGTTGACCTGAATATTAGCAAATAACAAACTGAATGACCTTGGCTTGTCACAAAAATTGTAAGTGGTGATTTGGCAGAGGGAGGGAGATATTCCGGTGTGTCCCTTGCATTTTACTTCATAATAAGGAAGATGATGCTGTCAGTTACATGATCTTTAAACAAAGCAAGATGTGCGGTTGAAGGAGTGATGAGGAACGCTGTCCTGCTTGGTCCTGGGGCAGATGCTATCTACTTAAGAATCCCATTTTGCATCAGTAACAGGCATTGAGCCTAACCCACAGTTGCCAACCAAATTCAGCTAAAAAATTACAAAAATAAACACAAGACTTTGGATGCTAACTCCATTTTCATCTGTTCTTTTGTGCTTTTAACATGAGCGTCAGCTGGCAGTAGGAACAGAGAAACATACTAACCAGCAGATTTGCAGCTGCTGCATCTAAGGTTGGATATAACACTGCCACATTACAAAAACAAAGTGTTTTTTACAAAGATGGCCTTTAAAATCATACTTTTTTAGATGTGCTTGGAGACCACCTGAAGACTCAAATCTAAAGAAAGAATTTATTACACCACTTGGTAACCCCTACCAGGTGTTCTGGAGGTTGTAAAGAAATAAAGTTCATGTGTGAAAGCCTTGTAGTCTGTGAAATACCATCTGAGATCCCACTAGCAAATATATGACTTTTATCTTTCCATCATACCACAGTGCCTAACAAAGCATGGATAAATACTCGTAAGTGAAATGCTGGCAGTGCCTGTGATATACTCAATGTTAATATTTTTAGGTTTTATCTGTCCAACAAGGTAAGGCAGCACAAGGTAAGTGTGTTGAGTAAAGGTCAAGTTTCATTTCTGTCTCTGTTTCTTAATGAATTCATATAGCAAGAGTTCAAATAGTGTACAGAAAGCACTAATTTATTAGTGCCTGTGTTAGCAACTTCCCTGACCTTCCCAGTGTTGAATACAAATTACAGGACACCACTGTTTTGGAATAATCTCCTGCACTGGGCCCCAAAAGACCAGACTGAAAATAAAAATAGTCACACAGTTAACCTTCCAAGTCACTGAGCTAAAACTAAGCAGTTTATGTGACTTTCTAACTTATCAGGATTGGACAGACAGCAGCCAAATGTCCATGATAACCAAGTTCCTTCAGTCTTTGCACAAAAGTAAACTGAAATAGCCTGGGTTAACTAATCACTTATTTTCCTATTGTTCTGTCTCCCTACCCCCTTGAGGAAACCAATCCGCTTTTTATTCTTTTGTTTCTATTTTATTCATATCCTTTCTATAAAGCCAAACTCTTCTGCTTAGCCCATCAGAACACTTACACTCCTTTATGGAATTAAGTGTAATCCAATTCCAGAATCAAAAATAAAGCCAATCAAGACCTTTAACTAAACTGTTGTGGCATTGTTTTTTAACACCAGGAATTTGCTCTCACCAGCAAAGTGGAACCATCACCTAACGCGGAGCACCAGGCCTCAGGAGGCTACTCCTCTCTCATCTCCTCTCAGAATGTAGAGTTAACTATGCACAAACACTGCCTGTGACAGGCCATGTTTCTCACTGTCCTCCATCTTCCTACCCTCCACAATTCTCAACTCTCCTCTCTTTGATACCGAGGGACGTGGATACCTACCACACATCCTGTTACTCAAGGAGGGCAGCCATGGCTGGTGGTGCCATAGTGATGAAAATGGAAAATGTGCACTTTTCAAAACCTCCCACATGGTTTCCTTAAGTGAAAGTAAGCTTTTAATCTAAAAAAATAAAATCTGCTCCCAGCTTCCCTCACAAAAAATACAAAGGAGAGCTTAGGGTGGATGGGAAAAAAATGAAATGGAAAGAGGAATAAGAGAAATATGAACTGAGACAAACTGCTCTAAAGAAGAAAATGATGTTCCTTGGGGACTTCAATTCTTTCTGTCATCTTGATTCTGTCCTATTCCTAAAAGGTTAACCACAGTTAATTCCAAATCTGGGAGTTTGGAGTCATGCGGGCAGAGAATCACTGAGTTAACTGTGATCAGGGCTGGTAAGCAGAGACCATGCAGCTTACAACAATGCTAGCACATTTCCCGGGGCCTGGGCCCAGGCACCCACTAGCCTCCCCAACTCACAGGGTAACTCTGTGAGTGAGAAAGCTAAGCTGACACCAACCTGTAGGTCAGAAGCATGAGAAATCAGTTGGTGAGCAAAGTGACTACACTCTAAAAATAACTCCACTGCTATATAATGCAATTATTTTTAAACTTGACAATTACTATTCAAAACAACCATCAAGAATCATTCTGTCTTAATTATGATGGATACAGACTTGTACCACTCTGATGCTCTAAGTATACAGACTGCCCAAACCCATGACTTTCTTGGAAGAGAAGGGGGAAGAGGAAAAGGAAGAAGAGAAAAAGAAAAGCTTCCTGAATATCCAACTATATGTGTTAAGTAAAAATGAGAGCTAATATGTAACAACTTACTTTGTGCCAGTTGTTGCTTTAAGTTCCTTACAAGGATAATGATTCTTATTTATTTATTTTTTTCTTTCTGGTGGCATGGGAGTTTGAACTCAGGGCCTCACACTTGCTAGGCAGGTGCTCTACTATTTGAGCTACTCCACCACCTTGTTTTTATGTTGAGTATTTTCAAGATAGGGTCTTACAAACTATTTGCCTGGGCTGGCTTTGAACTATGATCCTCCTGATCTCTGCCTCCTCAACAGTTAGGGTTACCGGCCAGGATTATCTTTTTAATCCTCTCCAATGAGTCCATTATCATTCTTAGTCACAAATGAAGAAACTGAGACTCAGAGAAGTTCAGAGAAGTTAAGTAACTTGGCCATGTTCACACAACTGTCTGCCACTCAAACAGTCTCATACCAGAACCTCTGACCTAAAACCTGTATGCAAAATCCTCTCTCTTTAGGAGAGCAGACACAAGGAGAAGGCTTATCATATAAGAAGTGTTAGAAACTAAGGGTAAGAAATAGATGGATGCCTTGTGCCAAGTTTTTCTTTTTTTGTGTGTGCTAAGCTTTGTTTCTATATTCATGGTTTAATCCAATAAACCAAATACACTTAGTGCCAGTAGTAAGAGTCTCAAATTCAACTGCAAAACAGAAATACAGATGAAAACTACCACAATAACCTTAACTCACCTTTCCCTCCCCCAGACACCAACGATTCAGAACACCTTGTGATCTTGCATATTCCACAGTGATAGGCTGACACCATAAGGTGGATTGAGGACAAAGCTTATAGCCTTAATAGAGCTTTTTAAAAACATTTTACTCATAGCATTTTCAGTGGCATTAGGTACTGGTAAAGGAAAAGGACAACCACTTCCCTCATAACTCAAACTGAGCTTGCCAAAAATTTTTAAAGAATGTGGTAACAGACCTAGGGATGCAGCTCAGTGGTAGAGCGCTTGTCTAGTGTGCATAAGCACACCCTGGGTTCCAACCTCAGCACCATTAAAAAAAAAAAAAAAAGAAAAGAATTTAATAATATTGTGGCATCCTTCATTTTTAAAATAAGAAATTATCACTAGCTCACTGATGATCATAAAGAGCTTAAATCATTTAAGTAAAGCAATTCTGCCATCTGGTGGGCATAGACATTTTACAGTTAACATTCAAATGATCCTTCTGTATATGTTTAGGGTGCGGAACAGAAAATAAGATTGTGATTAACCAGTCCTTCCAGGTCAGGAAAAAAATGCATTTTTTAAAGTGAAGATGCTCCACTCAGGAGGTGGAGATTGGGAGGACTGCAGGTTGAGGCTAGCCAGGCAAAAGTTAGCAAGACCCCATATCATTCAATAAGCTGGGTATGGTAGTGCCCATTTATAGCCCCAGCTACACAAGTGGCTGTACATGGGAGAATCGCAGTCTGAGGCAGGTCCCTAGTAAAA